GTGGGGAATGGCAGCAGTGCCAGGCCAAGGCTCCTGCCCCGCAGGTCTCCCCACACACAGGCAACCCGCAGCGGGGGCGGGGCTGGAAAGTGGGCGAGAACGGGGAAGATGGCCCTGATCCAGGGACCGTACCCCCGCACGAATTTTGTGCGCCGGGCCTCTAGTATTTTATAAGAAACTGCCAAACTGTCTTCCAAAACGACTGCCATTTTGCATGACCACCAGCAGGGAATGAGCTCCTGTTGCAGTGACATCATGTGGTTGGTTTATTTGTTTCTGTACTGAGAAATGATGTTGACCATCTTTTTGTCTGCTCATTTGCCATCCACATACCTTTTTGGGGGAAGTGTCTGTTCAGATTTGTTCCCCATATTGAAAAAATTGGGTTTTCTTGTTGAGTTTTAAGAGTTAATATAGGTTCTGAATATAAGTCCTTTATCAGATATGTGTTTTGCACATTTTCTTTCTCCCATTCTGGCTTGTCTTTTCATTCTCTTGATCATTTAAAATAAGAAATCCTCCCAGCCTCTTTGTATTTTGTTTCTTTTTCTTTTTTAACTTGGGGACAAAGAATGCCACCCTCAAAAGAAGCCACTGTAGTGGTAGGTGTAGGGCATGAAGGTGTTGCAGTTTAAAAAGTTGGCATTCCTGTGGGCTTGCCTCCGTCTGTCTCTTCCTTCCATGTCACTAGAGGGCCATCTCGCTCTTTCTCTCCCTGTTAGATGCTCTCTCTTCTTGCCCGGTCATTGGCTGCCCTGAGAAGACTGAGGCCCAGGCTGGAGAGCCGAGGCCCACCCTGTAGGAACTAACAGCTGGAGGTGCCAGATAACCACCTTTTTGCATCTAGAAAGTGAGTCCATTCTTGAAGCAGGTTCTGAGGGCTGCGTCTCTGTGCTTGATACATTCACTAATCTCCTATATAATAAAAGCCTAATATGCAAATCGACTGACCAGCATAACGACCAGTCACTATGACGCGCACTGACCAACAGGGGGCAGATGCTCAACACAGGGAGCGCCACTCAGCCAGAAGCTAGTCTCATGGCTGGCGAGCGCAGCAGCAGTGGTGGGAGCCTCTCCTGCCTCCGTGGCGCTGCTAAGGAGCAGTGAGCAGGCAGGCGGTAAGGAGCAAGGGGTCCCGGACTGCGAGAGGGATGTCCGACTGCCAGCTTAGCACGGGGAGTGGGCCTAAGCTGGC